TGAAGTTTGCAGCAGTGGTGTTTGCTGGAGGAGTGGCTATAAATCAACAGTGATGCCTTCTGGTGTTTAAAGGAAAGGCAAAATGAGGCACCTGACCCATGTGGGGAGGGAAAACAAGAACTGGGCAATGCCCTGAGCTGGGAAGGATTCTCCAGTCTGGGCACCCCCTGTGCATCCCTGAGAGCATTACCCAAATATCCCCGGAGTTGTTGGGAATGTCCCATTCCCTGGGGAGCCCAGTTCCTGATTCCCACCCCAAAGCCCAGACCCTGCTGTCCCTGGCCAGGGGAGCAGAGCTGCCCCTCCTGAGGAAGTCCCAGGCAGCTTTGCCACATTTCTGGTTAATATTTGGACAAATTTAGCTAATCCAGGCCATTAGTTAGTGAATTACCAATTGGGCATCTCTTGTTTTTCTTACAGCACGCAACAAAAATTTCCTCTGCTCCTCATCCTCTTCCTTACAGCTCTTTTTGCCTCTGAAAATAAACACAATTATTTGGAATCATTGGGAAAGGGCCCATTTCATGATACCTCTGATAATTCTTGTATAAAGTGCAAATTTAATTTTAGTCCAAGCCTTTCTTTAATACATTCCCTTCGTATTTAAGAATTGGTGATGCTGATGGGAGGGTGAGCCTCAGTTTATTGGGGTTTAGGAAGCGCCACCACCTCAACTCCGTGATCCCAAAAAATTCCCAAAGGGTTTGAAGGTGCCTGAGTGGAAATTCAGAGAGTGGCTTTTTCTCAAGACAGCAAGAGGTATTTTACTGCAGAAAGATTGTGTGGCTATTTTTAGCCCTGGGTACTGGTGAGGTGGAACAGAATATTTTTAGAGCAGTAGAAAATGCAGCCACTCTAGCTGGGTTCTTTTTTTCACACTGGTGCTGGAGGGGTTTTCCAAAATAAGGAGCAGAATTAGTAGAAAATGGCGTTTCTGTATCATTTTTATTTATTAAACAGGTGATCTGTGGATACACCTAGTATATTTATATTTATATTTATATTTATATTTATATTTATATTTATATTTATATTTATATTTATATTTATATTTATATTTATATTTATATTTATATTTATATTTATATTTATATTTATATTTTTATTTATTTATTTATTTATTTATTTATTTATTTATTTATTTATAGTTACTTCCATTCCTATACAATTTTAAGTGTTTTGGCCATGTGAGTACCATATATTAAAACAGTTTTCCCTCAAATTTGGAAAACTTTTTACCTCAGTGAAGTGTTTTAAGAAAATCCACAACCAGCAAGGCATAATTTTGTCCCTCAGTTCATCGTGGATCATTCCTGGAGTGAGGTAAGCCTGGAATAATGCAGGAAATGCTGGTGATGAAATTAGGAAAAGAGAAGTTTGGGAGAAGAAACTCTGTGGCTTTTTAGTAATTTTGACTCTTTCAAGCTCTGTTGCATTCACAGTGCAAAAGAAAATATTTTAATATTTAATAAACCATCGTTCTGGAAAAGAAACAACAAACCCAACCCCCCAGAAACATTCCTGGCATCTTTCTGAAGAATGTCCATATTAACTCTGATGTCCTGGCCTGATTCCAGCTTTATTGGATTATAAATTCTATTTCCATCCTCTTGGTTTTCAATTGCAGATCTATTTTTACCTTTCTTTTGTTAAATAATAATCGTTGTTTGCGGGGCACAGTTGCGTTCGTAGCCATCAGAATGATTTTATTTTCTAAAATTTAATATTTTTCTGGTTTTAATCATCTTCCTGAACTTCTAAAAGTAAATTATATGTGCTTGACGTGCCAGGATCTGTTTGGTGTTTTAAACACGGCAGATACACCAGATGAATTAACAGAAATCTGTCATCTTTTCTGCCCTCTGAAATTCCAAATTCCCAGTGTTGCTGCCCTGCAGAATCTGAGATCTTTGGGAGCAGAGGAGCAGGAGCCAGAGCTAAGGGCAGAGTTTGGTTTTTAGGGGAAGAGCTGCGCTCTGTTTGGTGTGGTTTGCTGGGATCTTCACACATCCTCTGTAGGGTAAGCAGATCTGCAAGGGCAGAGATGATAGGGCAGCAGATTGGAGAAAACCACCAAGAAAAATCAGATTTTGTCCCTTTTTTAGGTGCAGCTGCAGAGGCAGAGGAGGAGCCTGAGCAGAGCTCAGCTGTGGCTCCCTTGCCTTGCCTGCCTCCCTGTGCCCGCTCTGCTCCGCCTGTCGGGAGTTTGGAAGTATTTTGGGGTTGGGTTGGCAGGGAGCTGAGATTCCAGGGATCCCATCCCATCCCATGGATCCCATCCCATCCCATCCCATGGATCCCATCCCATCCCAGGGATCCCATCCCATCCCAGGGATCCCATCCCATCCTATGGTTCCCATCCCATGGATCCCATCCCATGGATCCCATCCCCATCCCATGGATCCCATCCCATGGATCCCACCCTATCCCATGGATCCCATCCCATCCTATCCCATGGATCCCATCCCCATGGATCCCACCCTATCCCATGGATCCCATCCCCATCCCCATCCCATTTCCACACCTCCCACTATCCCAGGGTGTTCCAAGCCTTGTCTTGGACATTCTGGGGATCCAGGGAACTTCTCTGGAATTCCATCCCAGCCCCTCCCCACCGTGCCAGGGAGGAATTCCTTCCCAAATCCCACCTAACCCCACCCCTGGCCATTGAAACCCATCCCCCTTGACTCAGTCCCTTTCCAAGTCTGCTCTTTGGGGCTGCAGCATTAACTGCACAAAAACCACCAAAAACTCAAAAAAAACCCCAAACCTCCAGAGGAACTGTCAGAGGCCTTTTTGAATTTAGTTTTTGGTTCGAGCAGAGGCTGTTTTCTGTCTGGCACGGCTCCTGAGGAGAGCTGGAGGAGGGAAAGCTCCTGAGGCAGCACTCAGGGCTGTCCTTCCTCATTTTCTCCCAAATCAATGTATAAATTCTGTAATCTGACCAATACAACAGTTGGATGTTAGGAAATATTTCTTTCCTGGGAGAGTGGTTAAGTGTTGAAGCAGCTTTCCCAGGGAAGTGTGGAATCACCATCGCTGGAAGGGCTCAAAAATCAGATTTTGATTTAATTGCCAAGGTGTTTCATCAGGAGTTGAACCTGGTGAGCTTTGAGGTCTTTTCCAGCTGTGATAACTCGGTGATTCCATGAATATGGAAGCTCAAACCCCACTTTTCATATCATTTAGTAAAAATAAATCTGTTATCAACAGGAGCAGAGGGAAAAGGATTGATTGGATCAAACTTCGTCACAGTTTTCCTGCTGCACACAATTCCAGTTCCTCCTGTTTGCCCATTTCCCTGCTGGATTCCCTAAATTGGAGGAAAAAAAAGATGGGCAGGGGAGAAGCTTGGGAAATCCAAGGAATTTTGGTAGCTGCTGGTTGGCTTCTCTGGATAATTGAGCTTTAAATGAAGGTGGCTTTAGTTAAGTAGTCAGCAGTTTTTAATTAATGAAGTGCTGGAGTTCACACCAAAGGTTCCCAAAAACCTTCCAGAACTTTTCTAATAAAGCCAAAATTGACAATTTCCAGGCTAAAGCAAATAATACCTGGGAGAAAAATCAACCCAGCAGAAAAACCCATGGAAAAGCAGGAAATAATAACTGGAATTCCCTCATTTCTCTGCATGAGCTTTGCTAATTCAGCTTTTGTTAATTAGAGTTTGTAATTGTGATCCTGCCATTTATAGCTAAAAATAGGTGTCAAATTCTGTGGAAGAGCCAATGTGGAAGCAGATTTTCATTGTTAATTGTGTAGATTGTGTCTGTTTCCTGCAGACATTGTGCTGGCAGGGAGGAAACGTATGCATTTCGAAATCTGAGATATTTATAAAACTTCATTCTTTCTCAAAGATTCCAAACAGCAGCTCTGTGTCCCTGTTCCTGCTCATGCACAACAGCAAATAATGGGATAAATGAGGGATTTTGGAGCAGTGTGATGCAGGAAAGACAAAAAATGGAATTTTGGGAGGCTCCTGCTGTAATATTTACACTCAGTGTCTTTGCTGTTGTTGGTTCCAGCCCACCACACGCTGCTTGGAACAAAATCTCAATTCTCACCCTGAAATATTCACTCAGCTGTCACTCAGGGATGAGTCAGGAATGCATTATAGTAAAGCAAAAAATGGGATATTTATCCAGTGTTTGGTGCACAGAGAATTATATTTATTTATTCAGAATATTTATATTGTATCATATTTATTCAGAGCTTACAAATTTATTCAGAACGTACAAAATTATGACGAATAATGAGATTGAAGTGCAACTTGCAAGCAGCTTTTCATTCAATGTGTGTTGGTGAGTGTGTGGAATCATTCTCTTGGGAGATGATGCTTTCTTTCAATTTATTATTTAAAAAACCCTTTTCATTGCAGCAGTGGCCCTGTGAAAGGCTGTGTTTCAGCTAAAACCACTATTTTAGGGATATTTAACATTAATTTCCAGCAGGAGCATTTTCCTCTTGAGCACTGCTTGGTTCTGGAGCGCCGTGGCACAGAGTGGGAAGACTTTAAAATCAGATTTTATAGCTGCGGGTCTCACGAGTTCTGGGCTTGTTCTGGATGTATTTGGTGCATTGGAGTCCATAAAACCTCAGAGTGAAATGTGAGATGTGCCACGTGTTGTGTTCAGCCCCTCTCTGAACTTTGACAGGCCCAGCCTGGTGCACGGAGGGAAATAAAAAAGTGACTGATGAGAATCCTCAGATGTATTTTTATTTCATATCAGAGCAATTTGACGTGAAATTACAGCGATAAAAGCCTCGATTTGCCTCAGCTCTGCTGTTACCTCCATCCCTATTTTAATGTACATTTTACAGGCATATAAATGTTGTTCATTGTATTTTTATTTACAGGAGGCTTCCAGTGGCAACTTCCTCAAAAACTCTTCAGAGCCAGATGTGTCTGATGCTGCTGGAGTTTCCAAAAACGTGTGTTCTGACTTGATTGAATTATTTCCTGATTGTCCTGGCTGCTTTTTGATGTTTCTGCTCTCTTGCAGCCTCAGATAACAGCCAGAGGTTTCGGGAAACCTGCTTCGCCTTCGCGCTGACGCCGCAGCAAGTGCAGCAGATCAGCAGCTCCATGTGAGTGGGCTCAGCAGCCCTGAAACCCAAATCACTCCCTGACATCCAAATAACTCCCTCTGGCTGCCCTGGCAGGGGTCAGAACCCCCCTGGACAGAGCCCCCAGAGACACTGGCTGTGATCTCTGTCCATGGAAAAGAGTTTTCAATCTTACAGGATGAATTACCAGCTCTGAGTGTTTGATATCAGTAATAATTAAGTGTGGCACGGGTGCAAAAGTAAAATTTTAGGATTCTAGATGAGGGGTCCAAAGGGCACAAGATGGAGGAAATTGGGTGTGCCTTGTCCTTTTTCTCCTTCTTCATGCCCTCCATGTTTCACTGTGGTGTTGGCATTTTTCTGTTGGTTCAGGCTGGGGACACACTGTCCAACGTAGGTGACAGATATTGGCACGTTATTGTAAATCCAGCACAGGTAGTTTGTGGTATTTAATGTTTGTACCATCCCACTGAGGGCAGAGCCCCACACGCTGCCCTGCAGGACAGAGCTGCGGCAGGGCAGCAGAACATGGTAGAGATAAACAGAATAAACAACCTTGAAACAGCACAGACCAATTATGGCTTCTGCTTTGGCAGCGGGGCAGAAATACAGAGACTTTCTACAACCTCAGAATCATCAATACCTCAGATTCCGACAATAACCCACCCCAAATCCACCCAGGTTCCCATAGCCCTGCTTGGGAAGCGCAGGGGAAAACTCCTCTGGGGGATTTGTGAGTGTTGTTCTGTGGGATGGAGAGAATTCGACCCCACCAGTGAGTTTTGGGTGGGTTTCTCTGGTGCTGCGCTCCCTGCAAATCCACAATTCTGCTTCCTGCAGCCCTTCCTTGCCATCAGTTTCTCTGTTAATTCCTTATAAACTTGTGACTTTGTGGGGACCCATCAGAATTTTCGTTCTAATATACCTGTATTATATATATAATACCTCTCTATATATATAATTACCTATATTATATATATATTATATCATTTAAAAAATCAAAAAACCCACAAAAACAACCCCAGAAAACCACACCCCCCTCAAAATAAAAAAACAAAAAAGCAAAGCAAACCAAAAACCCCACAAAAACCAGCAAAAAAATCCAGCAAACAAACAAAATCAAACAACCCTCCCAAAAAAAAGCCCAACAAAAAAACCTCAAACAAAAACCCCCACAAAAATAAGAGGTCAGACACAAATTTATTTATTTACCTCAAAAAATGAAACCTCTTCCTTTTAACCTCTCTTGAGAGTGGTGGTTTGAGCAGGAGCAGCAAAGTCTGCTGTGCATCATACCTGAAAGTGTGAATTTTCCATTCTTTGTGTCAAAATTAAATGTTTTCCATAAATTGAACTTCCAGCAAACTCCTGAGGAATCTGTATTGCCATGCTGAGGAATCTTGTGAAAAGCAGGATATTTTAATTCATTTTTTCCTCTTGTTTCCAGGGATATTTCTGGGACCAAATGTGACTTCACAGTACAGGTCCAGCTAAGGTAGGGATTTTGTTGCCTGTTGGTTTTTAGAATTTATCAGCCAGGTTGGGAATTCCTGGATGGAAAAGTGCTGATTTTCCTCATCCTGGTTGATTTTCTTGTCAGGGAATCCTTCCAGTAACTCCACCTTGGTCATTCCATGGCCTGGGGCTGGAAAATCAATGAGTGGGATTTTTTCTTAGCAGGGATGGATTCCATGGGCATCCCTACATCTCCTTCTTTAGGCACTTTGGGAATCACCAGCCTGGTGAATCTGGGGGTTTTTAATCCATCTAAAATAGATTAAACCCTTTGTCTCAGCCTGGTGGGGTGGGATGGACCAAGGGGGTGAGGAGGGGATGAGGGAAACCAGCCAGCCCCTCTTGGGATCCTGCATGGGCAGGGGTGGGGCAGGTCCTGGAAGGAATCCAGGGGAGCTCAGGGGTTTGGCTGCTCCTTGGAATGCTGATTGTCCTGCTGGCAGCAGGAAGGGTTTGTCCTGCTGGAGGTCAGCAGCAAAAACACCTCCATGAGCTGGGGAAAAAAGAAATCCAACAGCAGAAACCGCCTGGAGCTGCAGCTGGGGTGGGGGAAATGTCATTTGTGGCACTTTGGTCTTGTGTGGAGAGGTCGGGCTGGAGAAGAGGCAGAGGAGAAATTGGGCTGAGGAATTCAAGGAATCTGAGGAGGAACCTCCAGCACTGTAATTTTGGGGGGTTTTCCTGCTTAGTGACATCATTTGAGGGCTGTGTTTAGCAGGATCTCTCATGATTTCATGGCTCAGTGGAGAAACAATTCCTTCTAGGAAGAGATGATCTGTAAATCACTCTAAAAGTGAAAGATGATGGCAGCTCTTTGCTTTTAGGTTTTGTTTATCAGAAACCAGTTGTCCACAAGAAGATCACTTCCCACCCAATCTGTGTGTGAAAGTCAATGGGAAACCATGCAGCCTTCCAGTAAGTAAAATCTCCTTTTAATACTCATTTTGGGATGCATTATTAGGAATTACCTGCCTGAAAATTTATCCCAATCTTTGTTTCCATGTTCTGGAGCATTGGAATGAATAGAAAAGATCAAGTAATTTGTTCTAGCCAGTAGAGCCACAAGTTCATATGGAAGTTTAAAACCCCTTTTCAAGATTGTGTATTTAATAATACTAACACGAGCAGAGAAAAAAAGGATTGAATTTTAGAAATTCCGGTCCAAAGTTTGGGGTTTTTTTGTTTGGTTTTGCTGAGACAGGAGAGGTGGCAAAGTTCCCTTTAATATTCTGTGGGCAGGGTTAGGATTTTGGATTTCCATCAGGAGAAAGAACTTCTAAAATGCTCAATATTTTATTGTCTGATCCCTCTCTCTTGGAATTAAACACAGAGTTTGATCTGGGTGTGTTGGGCGGGGCAGGAGGCAAAAGCACGGTGGGATTCTTTCTTCTGAGAGCCGAACTTTTATTTTTTAGGGCTACCTGCCACCAACCAAAAACGGTGTGGAACCAAAGCGCCCCAGCCGACCAATCAACATTACCTCACTCGTCCGCCTGTCCACCACGGTCCCCAACACCATCGTCGTGTCCTGGACTGCAGAGATTGGCAGAGTGAGTGCCCTGGGGTCTCTCCTGGCTGCTTTGGGGATCATCCTGGGCAGAAAAGCCCTGCTGGGGATGCCCTTGTTCAGCTGGAATTCCAATTCCAGATGCCCTGGTTCAGCTGGAATTCTGTGCTCCCTCAGATCCCCCCTCACCTTCAGTGTGGGATCTCTCCCTCCTCATCTTTGTCACTCAGGGAGGGCGCAGATCGAGAGATCAAGGCATGCTCTGAGCCTTTTGTTTGTTGATTTGGCCAAGCTTCAGACTCTGAAGCTCTTGCTGACTGCAGGGACTTGCCAAAGCTTGGCTTGGACTCGCAAGGTGCGGGTGCCATGGACCCAGAGTGGCCCTTCAGGGCTGTGAGTGTGCACACAGCACAGCACACCTCATTCTATTATTACATTTCCATTTTACATGCCATTTTTTACACTTCTCCTAGCTGCTCTCCTCATCCTTCCCATTTAAAACCTCACGTTTTTATCCTTTTTTTGTGTCTGTGGGGAGAAGGTTACACCCGGTGTCAGAAATCCGTGATGTTCCAGCGGGCTGACGAAATCTGGAACATGCTGCAAAAAGTGACTTTGGTCAACCAGCCATGAATTACTGAGCTGCTTTCAGTGCTGGCACCAAAGCTGCTGGGTGGGCATTCCAGAGGCACCGTGTGCTGCTGCCACTGCCCCCAGCCTGTTTTTAGGAGTGCCCAGAATTGTCCTGAGGTGAAACTTTGGCCAAGAATTTGTCAGCGTGCAAAGCCCGGTGTGGAAAAATGCTTACACTCCAGTCAGGGACAATGGGCAGCTCTGAAACACCAGGGTGGGATTTCGTGGTGGATTTCTTGTGGAGCAGAAAACAATCTCATTCACATGGTGGCATCAAGGATGGCTGAGTCATTCTGGTCCAAAAAATCCTCTTTTACCTAATGAGAGCTGCAGGTGTCAGAAAGAAGCAGTTCCAAATCAGCCTGCTTGGGTTTGCATGCTGAAGTGCAGGTCCCAGGTGCTGCTCTGGGGGATTCACACTTCAGGATTTAGGGACAAGAAGTGCCCCAGGTTTGAGTCAGTCCCTTGGGAACTGGGGCACTTCTTGTCCCTAAATCCTGAAGTGTGAATCCCTCAGAGCAGATTAATCTGTGAAACCTGGTTCTCAGGTTTCACAGATTAATCATTTATAAAGAACATTTTGGGTAACTTCTGGCATAAATAAGTATTAGATCCAGAATTGTAGGACAGGGTTGGAGCAGCCTGGGACAAGGGAAAGTGTCCCTGCCCATGGCAGGGGTGGAATGGGATAATTTAAGATCCTTTCTAACCCAAACCATCCTGGAATTCTATAAAAAACAACCCTTCCTCAACAGATTCTTTCAGACACAACCCTTCCTAAATAGATACTAAGACACAACCTTTCTTAATTTGACTCTTTCAGACTTTGACAGTGAAATGTGAAGAATTATTTTCTATTTGGCTGTGCCTGTGTAGCACAAAATCCGAGTTCCTTTTTCCCCCTTCCCTCAAGAGGCAGTTCTTGTCCCAGCTGTGCTCCCTACCTTTGCTGGGTCCTCACCGAGGGTTTTACACAATCTGTTTCTTCTGTGCAAGATGCCTGGGGCAAGTTCCTGCCTTTGTAGATTCAAGCTGTCGGTAAATAATTTCACAACGTTAATTAGCATTTTTCTAACTCCTCTCCTAATTGAGGCATTAAACAAACAAGTTAAGGCAGTAGTGGTTTTTAACGACGTTGAGAAGCGTTCATTGTGAGAATAAAATATTTAAAATGTGGTGTTTCTGATGCTGCTCCAATTGATGTGATTTTGTGGTGAGATATATCACCGAGATCCTGCCTTCAGATCCTAAATAAAGGATGGGGGCTGTCACAATTACATGGATTTTTTTAAAGATGGGGTTTTCCCTGATGTTTTTGTGGTTTTTTGTGATGTTTTTGGGGTTTTCCCTGATGTTTTTGATATTTTTTCCCAGAACTATTCCATGGCAGTGTACCTGGTAAAGCATCTCTCCTCCACGGTGCCCTGCAATCCCATAACAAACTGTTACATGCTGCAAATAGGGTTTTCCGTGATGGTTTTGGGATTTTTCCTGATGTTTTTGGGGTTTTCCCTGATGTTTTGGGGGTTTCCCTGATGTTCTGATATTCTCTTCCGGAACTATTCCATGGCAGTGTACCTGGTGAAGCAGCTCTCCTCCACGGTTCCCCAGCAATCCCATAACAAACTGTTACATGCTGCAGACAGGGTGTTCCCTGGTGTTTCTGATGTTTTTGGGGTTTCCCCTGATGTTTTTGGGGTTTTCTCTGATGTTTTTGGGGTTTTCCCTCATGTTTTTGATATTTTTTCCCAGAACTATTCCATGGCAGTGTACCTGGTGAAGCAGCTCTCCTCCATGGTTCCCCAGCAATCCTATAACAAACTGTTACATGCTGCAAACAGGGTTTTCCCTGATGGTTTTGGGATTTTCCCTGATGTTTTTGGGGTTTTCTGTGATGTTTTTGGGGTTTTCCCTGATGTTTTGATATTCTTTTCCAGAACTATTCCATGGCAGTGTACCTGGTGAAGCAGCTCTCCTTCATGGTTCCCCAGCAATCCCATAACAAACTGTTACATGCTGCAAATAGGGTTTTCCGTGATGGTTTTGGGATTTTTCCTGATGTTTTTGGGGTTTTCCCTGATGTTTTGATATTTTTTCCCAGAACTATTCCACGGCAGTGTACCTGGTGAAGCATCTCTCCTCCACGGTGCCCTGCAATCCCATAACAAACTGTTATGTGCTGCAGACAGGGTTTTCCCCAATGGTTTTGGGATTTTCCCTGGTGTTTTTGGTATTTTCTGTGATGTTTTTGGGGTTTTCCCTGATGTTTTGATATTTTTTCCCAGAACTATTCCATGGCAGTGTACCTGGTGAAGCAGCTCTCTTCCATGGTTCCCCAGCAATCCTATAACAAACTGTTATGTGCTGCAGACAGGATTTTCCCTGATGGTTTTGGGGTTGTTTTTGGGGTTTTCCCTGATGTTTTGATATTTTTTCCCAGAACTATTCCATGGCAGTGTACCTGGTGAAGCAGCTCTCCTGCAGAGTGACCTACAATCCCATAACAAACTATTACATGCTGCAGACAGGATTTTCCCTGATGGTTTTGGGGTTGTTTTTGGGGTTTTCCCTGATGTTTTGATATTGTTTTCCAGAACTATTCCATGGCAGTGTACCTGGTGAAGCAGCCCTCCTCCATGGTTCCCCAGCAATCCTATAACAAACTGTTACATGCTGCAGACAGGATTTTCCCTGATGGTTTTGGGGTTGTTTTTGGGGTTTTCCCTGATGTTTTGATATTGTTTTCCAGAACTATTCCATGGCAGTGTACCTGGTGAAGCAGCTCTCCTCCACGGTGCTCCTGCAGCGGTTGCGGGCCAAGGGAATCCGGAACCCGGATCACTCCAGAGCACTGAGTATGTGTCTGCTGGGCTTTTGTAAAAAGGAAAAAAAAAACCACAAAAAAACCACTTCTGTGAGGGGAGATTTGGAATTAGGACTGTGCTAACCAAGCTTTGGACTTCCTACAGCCCTCTGGGCTCTGGGAATGTGATAGTGGTGTTCTTTGTGCTCAGCTGCAATTCAAAGACTCAGAGCCTTTGTTTGCACTAGGAGCCAGGCCAGGAACCCTGTTGACACTGTGAGGGGAAAAATGCAAGAGAATCTCTTTCAGCTCAGCCATCCTGGCTTTGTTTGTGCAGAATGGCACAACTGTGTTCTGCAGTCAAGTGGGCATTCAGTACCTCAGGAGAAGAAATTGGTGGAAGTTTGTGGCATAAAAACAGCACAAAGTACTGTGGGGTTGGTTTTCAGGGAGAGAGGAAAATCTCAGCCCCTGATAGTGGTGTTACTCTTTAATTAATGCTCACATCAGCTGTTTTGCCTTCTACAGAGGGAAAAAAAACTAGTACAGCAGTAAAAAATAATGCAAAAAATGCCACAAAATGGAAGTGGGCATTGAGGGCTGAAGGCCTTCCCCTGGGCCTGGGCAGGAGCAGCTCCACTGAGCATTTTGTGTTCCCAAAATTGTGGGGTGAGTCCAGAGACAGAGCCCAGCACAGAGCCCCTTCTCACTCCAGAGTGAATTTGCTGCCTTTTTGTTTCCTCTGACAACAAATTGGTGGAAATTTGTGGCATAAAACCAGCAAAAGCTACTGTGGGGTTGGTTTTCAGAGAGAGAGGAAAATCCCAGCCCGTGATAGTGGTGTTACTCTTTAATTAATGCTCACATCAGCTGTTTTGCCTTCTACAGAGGGAAAAAAAACTAGTACAGAAGTAAAAAATAGTTCAAAAAATGGTCATAAATGTGATTTACAGGGAAGTGGGCATTGAGGGCTGAAGGCCTTACCCTGGGCCTGGGCAGGAGCAGCTCCACTGAGCATTTTGTGTTCCCAAAATTGTGGGGTGAGCCCAGAGACAGAGCCCAGCACTGAATTTGCTGCCTTTTTGTTTCCCCTGACAAGCTTGTGGAAGTTTGTGTCAGAAAAATGCTGGCGAAAACTCTGCTGCAGGTTTGGTTTTCATGGAGAAGGGAAAATCCCCACACCTGATCCATATAGAATTACTCCTTAATTAATGCTCACATCAGGTGTTGCACTTTCTCCAGAGGGGAAGAAATGAGTGCAACAGTAAAAAATAATGCTGGGCATTAATTTGTCCTAATGCAGTTTGATGATTTGTGCATAAAATGCATTAAAATGCACAAAAACCTATGGATTTGTGCACAAAATGCACAAACTTCTGTGGATTTGTGCACAAAATGCACAAAAATCTACAGATTTATGCACAAAATGCACAAAAATCTACAAAGTTCCAGGTGGCTGCTGCTCTGCAAGGTGGGGATGAAGGTGTAGGTCCAGTTCTTGGAGCAGGAATAAAATGAGTTTGATTTGTTCATTTTGCCAGTGACTGCTCATGAAACAGCCCTTGTAAATAAAAATAGAGGATGAAAAACTCCGGGAATGAAAGACTTCAATATTTCACTGCAGTTTATTTAAATCTCAGATTTTTTTCAGGGTACTGCTGGCTGCCTGTTGCTCAATTTGCTTTTCAGTTTGAAATCACCTGATGAGGATTTGGGGGGGTTTATAGTCATGCCTGTCCATGTGAGAGTTGTTAATAAATTTACCAACTTCAGCTTGGAGTTAGAAATGAAATCAATGTGCTATTAAATATTAAATAATGGTCAGGTACAAAGTTGCATGCAAAGGAGTTAAGACATTTCTGGATAAACACATTTTTAGGGGTTTTGAATTCAAAGCTTACCACACCATTTCAGTCGTATTTTATTTCTTTATCATCCAATTCATGTTTGAATTAACCTAAAATAAACCTTTTCTTCTTTCAAATACCAGTTAAAGAAAAACTAACTGCTGATCCAGACAGTGAAATAGCAACAACCAGCCTAAGAGTGTCTCTGCTTTGTCCAGTAAGTTGATTTTTATTCCTTCAAAAGTGATTCTGGTGGAAATTACCTCGTGTTTACCTGGTGTAACTTTGGTGGGGACAGAGAGCAGCTGAAATTCTCTATATCTGTGCTGAAAAGCTCCTGAAATTCCCCTGGAAAAATGAATATTCCATTAACTTGGAAATGTTACTCAAAATATATGTAAGCATACATTTAAATGTGTCACTGGATCCTCTGAGAGTGCAGGTTGGGCTTGGATTGATAAAAATCTTCCTGGTTTTTAATCCTTTTTCCTCCCAGTAGATGGGGTTTTAAATCCTTCCTGCCTTTGGCTTCCCTTATTTTCCTTTTGAAGCATCCAGATTTTCCCTCTGATGCTCCTGAGCTGGGGGACTGTGCCCAAAAATCAAATGAGGGATTGCCCCAGCACCTGGGAGATGAGAATTCCTGCCCCACACAGGGCAGGGGGGAGCTGATTTTGGGATGGGAATCATGTGATTTTTGGAATGGGAATCATGTCATTTTTGGGATGGGAATAATGTGGTTTTTGGGACGGGAATAATGTCATTTTTGGGATGGGAATAATGTGATTTTTGGGATGGGAATAATGTGATTTGGGATGGGAATAATCTTCTTGGTCATGGATTTGAGGGGAGGAGGTGCCAAACACCTGGCACCAGAGCATCTCCTGTGGGAATTGTGTGTCCCCAGGAAATTCTGGGGACACAGAAATAGTAAAGGTAAGAAGGATTTCAGAAAGATACAAATAAAAAAAGCAGAGCAGAGAAAAACAGCTGCAAAATGTGAAAGTAGAAAAAATGACAATAGTATAGCAAGCAAGAACATTTGGAATTTTGCAACTGGTGGGGTTTTGTGAGGAGATTTTTATTTCAGATTAAAGTGGAATTGCTTTCGCTGTCTGCTGTCCTTTCAGTCTGGTTATACTTTCATGATAATGCAGGATAATTCTGGTTTTGGTCCATATAATACATGGAATAATACATAACAATTCTATTTTTGGTCCATGCAGGACACTGCTGCTTACAGGTGCTGGGTACATTTTGTTACAGGAATATGGCTGGATGTATTCTTCAGCTTCCTGGATCAATATAATTCAAAACATGATTTTTATTCACTTTTATACCATTTCGAACATACAGGAAGGAGTGAACTGTGCAAAACTCAGATTTCTGAGAGTTCTTTGTGGAATAAAACTCAACCTAACTCCTGTCTCTTTCCAGGCAGGGAAGCCCTGGTGATTTATTTAACCCCAAGGTAATAAAATCCTGTTTTTTTCTCTTCCAGCTTGGCAAGATGCGCCTGACCATCCCCTGCAGGGCCCTGACCTGCTCCCACCTGCAGTGTTTTGATGCCACTCTCTATATCCAAATGAACGAGAAAAAACCCACCTGGGTGTGCCCTGTGTGTGACAAGAAAGCTCCTTATGAGCATCTCATCATCGATGGGTGAGTGAAGCTGAAATCAGAGCCCAAACGGGATGTTCCTGTCTGAAATTGAGTTAATTTGTTGGTTTCCCTCCTTTTTGGAGCTCCCCATGTTGAATTTCCTCAGGAATTCCTGAGCAGCTCCTTCTGCAAGAACTCTGCTCCTTCAAACTCAACTTGATAATAATGAGAGCAGTTCTCAGTAAATTCCTGAGCTTTCCTAGGTGCAAACAGCACATGCTGTATTTTCTTTCCATGGAGCAGCTGTACAAATCTGGCAGGGTTGATAACAGGCAGAGCAAATCAATGGTGCCACCCCTGTGAGCTCCTGCACAATTCCGTGTACAATTTCACACTCGGGGAGCTGCTATCTATAGAAAGTGACACACACATTGATTCCCTGGCTCTGCCTGCTTGCAAAACACTAAAAAAAAATAAATAAATCTCACCTCGGCCTGGGCCAAGTGTGGGTTTCTGCGTTTGCCTTTTAATTCTTTAAGAGAGAAATTTTTGGGTTTTTTAATATAAAGGGAGAGAACAAGCAGAGGTTTTTGAGAATACTCTGAATATAAAAACAAAGCTCAAAAATTGATGAAGCACCCACATAAAAACCCCCAAAAGCAAAGCTGAAAACCCCCAAGAAACCCCAAAATTTTTAAAAAACCACCTCATCAACGATGAGTCTTTCAGGGAATGTGTGTTTTATTTTGGGAGGGATGAGGTCACTCAGGATCCCTTTGGAGCCTTGCAAAAAGCTCCTGAGGTGACCCTCAGGCTGTTCTGTTGTGCAGCCCCAATTTCCAGGATAAATCTGCCTTGGATCAAAGAGCTGGGGGGCTCCTGCTTGAGGTTTCTGCCTGAAACAGCAGAGCCAAAAACCAGGAATAATGCAAACCCCACATTTCCCTTATTTCTCCTGCTGCTGGCAGGTGCAGATGTTGGATCTGATCTAACTGGAGCATCCCAAGGAGAAGATTATTGGTGGAAAATGCTCCAGTCTGGGAAAGAGGGAGCTAATTAAAGCCAAGCTCTAATTAAAGCCAAGCTCTTCCCTGCAGAACCACATGAATGGGCCTGGTCAGAAGCTGGAATTCCCACTGGCAGTGATGTGCTGCCAGCATCCTAAAATTTTAGGAGGTGCCTGTGGGAGAAGAGGCTGCAAATTGAGATTCCCATGCTCAGCATTTGTTAGGAAGTTTCACAAGTCCCTAAATCCTCAGATTTAAGAGAGGTTTGCTCAGTTAAGTTTTGTCAAAGCGGGTGAGGAGAGGATTTTTTTTTTATCAGCTCTGGTTCACAGATTTCCTTTGTTATTGGAAATAGAGAGTTCTGTGTCACAGGCTCTGCAGGATTGCCCTCTCAGTGCTTTTCAATAAAAATCTTCATTTTTGCAGATTTTTATTTTAGGTAATACTTGAATTTTGTCAGTGATTCCTTTTTATCAAGGAGGCAGCTGAGAGAAGAGCAGAACAGTAAAAGCTTTGCCACAAATTCAGACTTACACTGACTAATAAAGGGAAAGAAGTTCTTTTTAGCACTGATATGAAACATTTTTATGGACAGGTTGTTCATGGAAATCCTGAAGTTCTGCACAGATTGTGATGAGATCCAGTTCAAGGAGGATGGATCCTGGGCTCCCATGAGGTCCAAGAAGGAGGTGCAGGAGGTGACAGCATCCTACAATGGAGTGGATGGTGAGCCATGGCTGGGCTGTGCAGGACATGCTGGACTCCCCTGTGTCCCTTCACCTCCCGAAATGCTCATTTTTAAACATACATTTATAGCTTTAATCATTTATATTCAGTTAATTGGGTCACACCTGTCTGGGTCTGACGGTGTTTAAAGTTACCAACATCCTGTGATTGTTTTTGTTTTGAATTTTGAGCTTTTTTAACGAGCTGTGACTGTAGCTGAGTGTTGTTTCTGTGCAGGATGCATCAGCTCCTCCTTGGAGCACCAGGTGTCCTCTCACCAACAATCCAACAAGAACAAGAAGGTGGAAGTGATCGACCTGACCATCGACAGCTCCTCCGACGAGGAGGACGAGGAGCCCTCGGCCAAGAGGAGCTGTCCCTCCATCTCCCCAGCATCTCCCATGAACAGCAAGGGGTGAGCACACAGCCCTGAGGGGCTCTCAGAGATGCAGGATTCTCAGAGCTGCAGACCAAAGCAGCCCTGCAGACTCTGCCTGTGCCTCCCAGCCTCCTTTGGCAGCTCTGGGTCTGCTCCCAGCTCCAGGCTGGGCTTGGGATCACCTCCAAGTGGTCAGCACTGGGGTGGTGGTTGTGGGCTGGGGCAAGGGACATCAAAGATTTGAGTGTGCAACAGAAATATTTCAGTTGTGTCTGTGGGCTGGTGCAAGGGGAATCAAATATTTGAGTGTGCAACATAAATATTTCAGTTGTGTTTGTGGGTTGGGGCAAGGGGAATCAAAGATTTGAGTGTAAAACAGAAATCGTTCTGTTTGTGAGCTGGGGCAAGGGGGATAAAAGATTTGAGTGTGCAGCACCATGAAATATTTCTGTTGTGTTTGTGAAATGGTGCAAGGGGAATCAAAGATTTGAGTGTGCAACAGAAATATTTCAGTTGTGTTTGTGAAATGATGCACAGGGAATCAAAGATTTGAGTGTTCAACACAATGAAATATTTTAGTTCAGTTTCTGAAATTGTGCAAGGGGAATCACAGGTTCAAGTGTGCAACAGAAATACTTCAGTTGTGTTTGTGAAATTGCGCAAGGGGAATCAAAGGTTCAAGTGTGCAACAGAAATATTTTAGTCCTGTTTGTGAAATGGTGCAAGGGGAAGCACAGCTTTGAGTGTGCAATACAAATATTTCAGTTGTGCTTGAATTGGTGCAAGAGGAAGCACAGCTTTGAGTGTGCAACACAAATGAAATATTTCAGTTGTGTTTGTGAAATGGAGCACAGAGAATCACAGCTTTGAGTGTGCAACGCAAATGAAATATTGAAATACAAAAACTGAAATATTGAAATATGAAAATATTTCAGTTGTTTGGAAAAAAAAGAATGTAAAACGGTGCAAAAGGCACAGAAGTCTGGATTTTTCAGAGCTGGGAGTGTTTTTCTTCCATTGGGAAATGCAGAAGCAGCAGCCAGGGAGGGGCAGGGCTGTGGGAACTGGGGATGCCACAAGCACCTGGGCACACCTGAGCAGCCAGGCTGGAAATAGCTCCTGGTTTGCATAAATATTCTGGGATGGAAGCCAGGGATCCTGTGGGAAGAGGTTCCTGCTCCACAGTGGGAATCACTGCAACCCCTCAAGGCCTTTTCCAGCTGGATCCCCCTTGTGGGGTGTCAGTGCTGGGGGGTCCCACAGGGCCCTGCGGGGTTTGGGGCTCAGGATTCCTTCAGGATTGTCCTGTCCTTGTTGGAAACACATTTCTGGAGATCCCAGCAGCATTTCCAGTTCCTGCTGTTTGGGACTGAGCTTTCCTTTCCTACACCCCAGCTCTCCTGGACTGGAGGGGTGTTCCTGCTGGAATATTGTGAGGAGGAAGCTTGGGGAGTGTGTGATGCAATTTTGGGATGGCTGCACATCCCCCAGGAAGCTCAGAATGTGTTTTGAATTGTTTTAAATTGAAGTCCAATTTGAAAATAATTAAACAAGCATCCTCTGATGGGACAGCAATAAACAAGAGTGTATTTTATGCTTTTTAACAAGTTTTTTTTTCCCCCTTCCAGCATTTTAAATTTACCCCACCAAGCTTCTCCTGTGTCAAGAACCCCAAGCCTCCCTGCTGTGGACACCAGCTACATCAACACATCACTCATCCAGGACTACAGGCATCCATTCCATATGACACCCATGCCTTACGACCTGCAAGGTGAGTTCTGAATGCACCTGCACAGCTCCCCAGGCACTCATTTAATTATAAAACAAAAATAATGAGGTTAGTGCCATTGGTAGCAAAGAGAATTGGAAGTGTCATCGATGTTAGGCTGGTTTATTTCGAAATAAGTGGTGAAAAAATGGAGAGAGGCCGTTTTGAGAAGCTGAATTTTGTTTTTTATCTCTTGACAGGTTTAGATTTCTTCCCTTTCCTGTCAGGTGACAATCAGGTAAGTCAGGGAGAACCAAATCCTGTGGCAAACACTTTTCCCAGCAGGATTTGCTGTGTGGGAAGCAGCAGCAGAGTTGTCTAAACACAGGTGTGGGATGAGGCACAGCAAAGAGAAACATTTGGGGATTTTAAAATGTTAAACTCAGCAGCCACTTCATTGTGGAATGAAGGTGCAGCTTGATCCCTTTTCCTCCAAAAAAAGGGAGCTGGGATGTCTCCCTGCCCTCCCAAGGAGGGAAATTGCACTAAAATTGCCCTAAAAGCTGAGGGATACTTGGATATCCTCACGGAGAGCAGATCCTGCACTGGGAATTCGGGTCAGGAAATCTCCTGAATATCCAAGACCTGAGAATGATTCTGATCCAAGGAATGCTGCCCTGGCTGTGGAGAAATCATTGGGAACAAGGTTGGGGCAGCCTGGATGTTCAGTGGTGCTGGGAAGGAGCACTGGGAGCAGAGTTCCCCCTCAGGGAAGTTGGGTTTAAATGGGATTTTTGATTGCTCAAACCCTGCCCTTTGGGGCTGCAGCAGAGAGGAAAGCCTGGGACAGCCCCTGCCCCACCCCACGGACCAAGCTGGCCCTAAATGCATTTTCCCAGGATTGTGCCTTGCTGCCAGCAGGGATCAGCACAGCTCCACCTCTCAGCTGGGGCTCACCCTGATTCTGGGGGATGGCAAAATGAATCTGGGGGAATTTCGCCCCCAAAGGAATTTTTTTTAACAGCTAAACAAAAAAACAAAGCGCCAAAAGTGCTGCTGCTCACCCTTTTTCCTGCTTTGGGCTCTCTGATCCCATTCCTGCTCACCCTTTTTCCTACTTTGGGCTCTCTGATCCCATTCCTGCTCACCCTTTTTCCTACTTTGGGCTCTCTGATCCCATTCCTGCTCGCCCTTTTCCTGCTTTGGGCTCTCTGATCCCATTCCTGTTCACCCTTTTTCCTGCTTTGGGCTCTCTGATCCCATTCCTGCTTGCCATTTTCCTGTGCTCTGATCCCATTCCTGCTCACCCTTTTCCTGCTTTGGTTTCTCTGATCCCATTCCTGCTCACCCTTTTCCTGATTTTGTGCTCTGATCCCATTCCTGCTTCCCTTTTTCCTAGTTTGGTTTCTCTGATCCCATTCCTGCTTGCACTTTTCCTGGTTTTGTGCTCTGATCCCATTCCTGCTTGCCCCTTTTTGTGGTTTGGGCTCTCTGATCCCATTCCTGCATGCCTTTTTCCTAGTTTGGTTTCTCTGATCCCATTCCTGGTTTTGTGCTCTGATCCCATTCCTGCTTGCCCTTTTCCTGGTTTTGTGCTCTGATCCCATTCCTGCTCACCCTTTTCCTGGTTTTGAGCACTGATCCCATTCCTGCTCACCCTTTTCCTAGTTTGGTTTCTCTGATCCCATTCCTGCTCACCCTTTTCCTGATTTTGTGCTCTGATCCCATTCCTGCTCACCCTTTTCCTGATTTTGTGCTCTGATCCCATTCTTGCTCACCCTTTTCCTGGTTTTGTGCTCTGATCCCATTCCTGCTCACCCTTTTCCTGCTTTGGGCTCTCTGATCCCATTCCTGCTCACCCTTTTCCTGCTTTGGTTTCTCTGATCCCATTCCCGCTCAGCTGTTCCTGATTTTGTGCTCTGATCCCATTCCTGCTTCCCTTTTTCCTAGTTTGGTTTCTCTGATCCCATTCCTGCTTGCACTTTTCCTGGTTTTGTGCTCTGATCCCATTCTTGCTCACCCTTTTCCTGGTTTTGTGCTCTGATCCCATTCCTGCTCACCCTTTTCCTGGTTTTGTGCTCTGATCCCATTCCTGCTCACCCTTTTCCTGCTTTGGGCTCTCTGATCCCATTCCTGCTTGCCCCTTTTTGTGGTTTGGGCTCTCTGATCCCATTCCTGCTCACCCTTTTCCTGGTTTTGTGCTCTGATCCCATTCCCTCCTTGCTGTTCCGTGGGGTTTGGGTTTCCAAACCACATTTTCCACCCCAGCATCCCCGATTCCTTTTGCCTTCAGAACTGTGCACCCACAGAGCCAAAACTCCATTTCACCTCACACTGTGAGCTGCTGTGAACCCCAAAACCTCCCAAAACCTCCCTTTACCCAAACCCCCTTTACCCCACACTACCAACCCCTGAATTTTAACCCTTTCTCTCCCGCCAGCATTACAACACCTCCCTCCTCGCCGCCGCCGCCGCCGCCGTTTCCGCCTCGGACGATCAGGAACTTTTGCACTCCCGATTTTTCCCCTACACCTCGTCCCAAATGTTCCTGGATCAGCTGAACGCGGGGGGCAGCAGCTCCCTGCCAGCCACCAACGGCAGCAGCAGCGGCAGCAACAGCAGCCTGGTCTCCTCCACCAGCCTGCGGGACACCCACGGGCACCCCGTGCCCAGCAGGAGCAGCACGGACACGGCCTCAATCTTTGGTATCATACCAGATATTATCTCCTTGGACTGATCCCTTTCTATTTTATTTTTGGGTGGGAAGGGTGGTTTTTATTTTGGGGAGGTGGGGAACAGAGGAAATCTTCGTGCTCGGTTTTTCTTTCTGTTGAGAAAAAAAAAAAAGTTAAGACAAGGTGGTTTTTTTTTTTTTCCTTTTTTTAAAAAAGGGGAAAAAAAATTTATGTGTACAGAGAACAAAAAAAAAAAAGTCTATTTTCAGTTTTACTTTTGTATATAAACCTAAGATGGCCTCGCTGGTAAAAATAAGAAAAAAAAAAGACAAAAGAGAAAAAAAACTAAGAAAAACAAGGAGCTTCAGTTCATTTTTATGGATGCTGAAGATTTTACGCCTGTGCATTTGTCATGTGAGTTTCTTTCTTTTCTTTTTCCCCCCTGTAGTTTGGACACCAATGGCATTATTTTCTCCACAGTTAAAGAAACAGGAGAGGAGCTGAGCTTCTAAAGTTCAAGCTTGGGGAGAGGGTTTTTTCTCCTCTTGGAGACATTTCCCTTGGCTGGTGGAATCTAATTCCCCCATCCCATTTTTAGTGCAGATTTTGTAATTCTGGCAGCAGAGCAGCCCCTGCTCTGCTGCAGCCCAGAGCCTTCCAGGAGTGGGGTTGGTTTTTTGGGATTTTTTTTTTTTTTTTGGCATTTCTGGTTCCATGTGCCCCTCTGCCCAGGCAAATTTTGAATTCCATGCTTTAATCAGGAATGATGCAAATTCATCCAGGGAATGGCATGAAGCTGACTGGGAGGTTTAGGTTGGATTTCAGGGAAAATTCCACCTCCAGAGGGTGTAGGGCACTGCCCAGGCTCCCCAGGGAACGCTGACATCCCCAGGGCTGCCAGAGCTGCAGGAATGTTGGGAGAGCTCCTTGGGATGCACTGGGAGGGACTTTGAGATGCTCCCAGCGAGGAATATTCCACATTTCTGGGATCCAGTAACTCCTGAGGGCCTGACCCCATCAAATCCCAGCTGAGGAGTCACCTGTGGGACAAAGTGTTCCATTTTTATGGGGTGAAGCCCCAAATCCCAGCTGAGGAGTCACCTGTGGGACAAAGTGTTCCATTTTTATGGAGTGGAGTTCCAAATCCCAGCTGAGGAGTGGCCTGTGGGACAAAATGTTCCTTTTTTGTGGGGTGGAGCCCCAAAAAATCCCAGCTGAGGAATGACTTGTTTAGGAATTCATTGAGAAATGAATTTGATTTGGACAAGAAGTTCCTTTTTTGTGGAGTGAGTCCCCACATCCCAGCTGAGCAATGACCTGTGGCATGAGATGTCCCATTTTTTTTGGAGTGAAGCCCCAAATCAACATCAAATCCCAGCTGAGGAATGACTTTTAGGATAAAGTGTTCAGTTTTTATGGTGTGAAGCCCCAAATCAACATCAAATCCCAGCTGAGGAATAACTTCTTGAGGAATTCATTGAGAAATTGATTTGATTTGGACAAGATGCTCCATTTTTGTGGGTTGAAGCTCCAAATCAATATCAAATCTCAGCTGAGGAGTGACTTGTGGGACAAAGTTAAATTTTTATGGAGTGGAGCCCCAAATCCCAGCTGAGGAATGACTTGTGGGACAAAGTGTTCCATTTTTATGGGGTGGAGCCCCAAATCAACATCAAATCCCAGCTGAGGAATAACTTCTCGAGGAAATCATTGAGAAATTAATTTGGACAAGGTGTTCCATTTTTATGGAGTGGAGCCCCAAATCCCAGCTGAGGAGTGACTTGTGCCACGAAGTTCCATTTTTGTGGGGTGAAACCCCAAATCAGCATCAAATCCCAGCTGAGGAGTGATTTATGGGATAAGATATTTCATTTTTATGGAGTGGAGCCCCAAATCCCAGCTGAGGAAGGACTTGTTGAGGAATTCATTGAGAAATGAATTAGATTTGGACAAGATGCTCCATTTTTATGGAGTGGAGCCCCAAATAAACATCAAATCCCAGCTGAGGAATGACCTGTGGGACAAAGTTCCATTTTTTTTTGGAGTGAAGCCCCAAACCAGCCCCTGCAGTGCCTCCCCACCCAGCTCCTTTAGGGCTATAGCAGCTTCCAAAATTCTGAATTATTTCAGATTTTTTTTCCATATTTAATTCCTAGTTTCTTTTCTCATTGTTTTTAAGTTGTGCATGACATAGGAATTTTTTTTTTTTTTTTGGTTATTTGGGCTGATCCGTTCTTCTTAAGGAGTGGAATGTGTAAATAGCTGGAATGCAGATTTTTTTCAGGAGATTCTTTAAAGTCAGAGAAAGGGGGAGGGAAGGAAGTGATTCTCTTGTGTCCCAAAGTCCATGTCAGAGAGAGTAAATATTTCCTCTGGTGTGAAAAATATTTTTATAACTGGTTGAAAGTGCAGGTATTGAGTTTATCAGGAAAAAGAGAGTTAAGGAATACTAAAATTAGCAGATTCTTGTCTGAATTTTTTTCATGTCCAAAAAAACTGTTGATTGCAAATAGTTGCTTCAAGCATTGACAAGGGCCACCTTTTGCCTATGAAGTCGTCTCAAAAAAAAATAAAATCTTGCATTGATTTTAAAAAAAGTAAAAAAAAAAAAAAACAGGAAAAAATTTAAAAAAAAAACCAAGAAAAAAAAGCAAAAAAAAAAAAATCTTTAATCCAAGTAGCATTAGGTATTGCTGTCTGATCAGTCGTATGGTTATTTGAAAGGTTCACATGATGTGGCATCAAAAATTGTTTTTAGTGTTTTTACAGCATCCCTCTGCCACTAAATAGTTGACTTGAATTTTGGAAAAAGGAAACTGTTGGTGTTTATATGTATATGTGTGTGTATATATGTATTTATAGATCCGTGTGTGTGAGTTCCAGGTGAGTTCAATAGTTTTTTCCCATGCATGTGTATTTCATACATATCTGGCTGATATATTCTATTTCACCATACACCGATTTTATAATTTATTAAATGTCAGTTAAAAAAAAGAGAAAAAAAAAAAAGAAATAAAAGGATAGAAAATGGGAAAGACTTATTTTTGAAACGGTCTGATTTGGAAGTGATTCAGCCTCTGCTAGGAATGCCTCTTACCCAGTTTAGGGGGAGATTTTTCATGGATTTTTCTGGAATTGGGGGTGTGAGTGCCGTGGTTTGCCTGCGTGTCCCAGCTCCTGGAACATCCAGTGGGAATTTGGGATTGCTCGGGGCTCCTTTTCCCACCTTTCCATGGAGGCTGGCAAGGGTGACCCCAAGAGCAGCGGGATCGAAACCCCGTTAATCCCATGGGAAATGGGATGTGGTGGTGTTGGTGTCCTGGGATTTGGAACTTTGGGAATGGCAGCTCAGCTTGGTGTTCCCATTCCCTGTGATCCTGCTGGGAGACAGGCTCCAGGTCCAAAACCTTGTAAATCCCATGGGAAATGGGATGTGGTGGGATTTGGTATCTTGGATTTGGAACTTTGGGAATGACAGCTCGGCTTGGTGTTCCCATTCCCTGTGATCCCGCTGGGAGGAAGGCTCCAGGTCCAAAACCCCGTTAATCCCATGGGAAATGGGATGTGGTGGTGTTGGTATCCTGGGATTTGGAACTTTGGGAATGGCAGCTCAGTTTGGTGTTCCCATTCCCTGTGATCCCACTGGGTGAAAGGCTGCAGGTCCAAAATCCCGTTAATCCCATGGGAAATGGGGCGTGGTGGGATTTGGTATCCTGGGATTTGGAACTTTGGGAATGGCAGCTCAGTTTGGTGTTCCCATTCCCTGTGATCCCGCTGGGAGAAAGGCTCCAGGTCCAAAACCTTGTAAATCCCATGGGAAATGGGACGTGGTGGTGTTGGTATTTGGCACTTTGGGAACAGCAGCAGCATTCCCCATTCCCTGTGATCCCGCTGGGAGGAAAGCTCTCTGTAAATCCCATGGGAAATGGGATGTGGTGGTGTTGATATTTTGGGATTTGGCACTTTGGGATCAGCAGCATCCCCCATTCCCTGTGATCCCAGCGGGAGGAAGGCTCTCTGTAAATCCCATGGGAATTGGGATGTGGTGGTGTTGGTATTTTGGGATTTGGCATTTTGGGAACAGCAGCAGCATTCCCCACTCCCTGGGATCCCACTGGGAGGAAGGCTCTCTGTAAATCCCATGGGAAGTGGGATGTGGTGGTGTTGATATTTTGGGATTTGGCACTTTGGGAACAGCAGCAGCATTCCCCACTCCCTGGGATCCCAGCGGGAGGAAGGCTCCGGGCTCGGGGCTCGGGGCTGGCACTGCCACCCTGTGCCCTGCCAGGAGGGACGGGCCCTGATCCATGGCCTGGCATTCCCCAGGCTGGAATTCCTCACTCCTGCCAGCACAGTGAGCCTTGGGGTACAGATCTCCCTCTGCTTCTGCCGAGTCACTCCCAAATCCCTCCCAAATTCCCAAATAACTCCCGAACTCCCAAATGACTCCCAAATTCCCAAAGTCCCAAATAACTCCCAAATAACTCCCAAATAACTCCCAAACTCCCAAATAACTCCCAAACTCCCAAATAACTCCCAAACTCCCAAATTCCCAAACTCACAAATTCCCAAACTCACAAAGGCCTAAAGTCCCAAATAACTCCCAAATTCCCAAACTCCCAAATAACTCCCAAACTCCCAAATAACTCCCAAACAACCCCCAAATTCCCAAAGTTCCAAATAACTCCCAAACTCCCAAAGGCCCAAACTCCCAAATAACTCCTGAACTCCCAAATTCCCAAACTCCCAAATGCCCAAATTCCCAAACTCCCAAATAACTCCTGAACTCCCAAACTCCGCCTCGGGGGGTCTCCAGCTCTCCAGTGGGATCCCTGGAATTGCAGGTGGGATTGTCCCCGCGGGGTTTGCACACCTGGGGGGGGTTTGCACACCTGGGGGGGGGTTTGCACACCTGGGGGTGCAGATGTGCCGGGGGTGTGCACATCTGTCTGGGGGATGTGCACAGAGGTGTCTGCAGTGCTCACACCTGTCCGGGACGTGTGCACAGGTGTGTGTGCAAAGTGTGTGTGTGCGCAGGTGTGTGTGCGTGTGAGGACACTGACACGTGTCTGGGATGTGCACACGCGTGTCACACACACATTTGGGGCGTGCACCTGTGTCACACACACACACACACACAGACCCACATTTGGGATGTGCACACGCGTGTGTCACACTCATGTGGCTGCAGGAGAGGGGAGGGACGAGGCTGGGCATGGATTTGGGAACAAATTCCCAAGGAATTCCCCGTCCCAGCAGCTGCACAAATCAAACCTTTCCTGCTGCATTTGGGAACAAATTCCCAAGGAATTCCCCATCCCAGCAGCTGCACAATCCAAACCTTTCCTGCTGGATTTGGGAACAAATTCCCAAGGAATTCCCCATCCCAGCAGCTGCACAATCCAAACCTTTCCTGCTGGATTTGGGAACAAATTCCCAGGGAATTCCCCGTCCCAGCAGCTGCACAATCCAAACCTTTCCTGCTGGATTTGGGAGCTCTTTGTAACCCCAATTTTCACGTTTTTCTGGACTATTTCCTACCCCTGGAGTAGGAAGAGCTAATTAGGAGTTGAAGGGAGTGGCCATGTCACTTTTCCATGGAACAAAAAGTTCATTTTCCATGGAACAAAGTTCATTTTCCACGGAACAAAGTTCATTTTCCATGGAACAAAGCTGATTTTCCATGGGAAGAAGCTGGGGATCCCAGTCTGAGCTCGCTGGGATTGGGATTTTTGGGAGAACAGAGGGATCAGAGCCTGGATCAGGATCTTTTCCTTCACTGCAGGACTGAAATCCCTGGATCTGCTCCCATGCCTTGGGAAGACTTCAGCAATGCCATTTAATTTTCCGTATTTTTTCCCCCACATTTGATATTCCATGAGGATAATCCCCATTTTACCCTCACAGGGACACTGGTATGGATGTGGGAGGTTGGGATTTGTTGGGATTTGTTCAGATTTTGGGGGTTTTTCCTGGTGTGGAAAAGGGAAATTTCCCTGGGGAGTTTTTTCCTGTTGTGGAAAAGGGGAAATTTCCCTGGGGAGTTTTTTCCTGGTGTGGAAAAGGGGAATTTTCCTGTTGTGGAAAAGGTGAGTTTCTCTGGGGGAATTTTTCCCTGGTGTGGAAAAGGGGAATTTTCCTGGGGAATTTTTTCCTGGTGTGGAAAAGGGGAAATTTCCCTGGGGAGGTTTTTCCTGGTGTGGAAAAGGGAATTTTCCTGTTGTGGAAAAGGTGAATTTCCCTGGGGAGGTTTTTCCTGGTGTGGAAAAGGAGAATTTTCCTGGGGAGATTTTTCCTGGTGTGGAAAAGGGGAAATTTCCCTGGGGAGGTTTTCATGGTGTGGAAAAGGGGAATTTTCCTGGTGTGGAAAAGGGAAATTTCCCTGGGGAGTTTTTTCCTGGTGTGGAAAAGGGAATTTTCCTGTTGTGGAAAAGGTTAATTTCCCTGGGGAGTTTTTTCCTGCTGTGGAAAAGGGGAAATTTCCCTGGGGAGGTTTTCATGGTGTGGAAAAGGGAATTTTCCTGGTGTGGAAAAGGTGAATTTCCCTGGGGAGTTTTTTCCTGGTGTGAAAAAGGGGAATTTTCCTGGCCCTGTTTTTCCTTTTTCCCGTTTTTCCTTTCTGCAGACACCAAACCCCTGCTGGGCTGTGCTGGCTTCTCCCAGAACCAGGAGACCTCGACCACGAGTTCCTTCTGCCACAACCCCAACATTCAAATGCTTTTAAAAATCATTTTTTTAAAGCTTGGCACGCGTCATCACGCCCGGTTTATTTCAATAACAGTTATTATTGCTATAATAAAATAGATATAATAATATTATTCCTTGTTTTTCCAGGAAACAGGGAGGAAGCTATGGGAGTGTGAGTAGAAAATGAAGGCAAAATCAGGTTTTGAAAGGCAGCTGATGGTTCCTGAGTCCGACTGGGAAGTGGGAAAAATGGAAATAAATGGAAATAAACCCCTGCAGGTGCTGCTCCAGCAGATCCACTCTGGTGTCAGTAATCCACCGAGGGAAGGCAAACGAGGCGCACAAATTCCTCGTATTTGATGGTTCCATTGGGCCCAACTTTGGCCTCCCTCAGCAGGTCATCCACTGAAAAATGGGAAAATCCCGTTGGAAGGGATCTTTGGGGTGTTGGGTGTTCCCAAAGAAAGCAGCACTGCGGGTTTGGGGTTTGGGGATTTTGTTGGAAATCACCTCTGGGATCGGGTGAGAGTTTCAAAGTGGCGTCAATCAGCACCTGGATTTAAATTGGATTTAAATTCCATGTAAAACTCGCTGGAGCAGGGATATCCATCTCTGTGAGTTCCAGAGGGGGAAAAAACAAATCACAGCTTTAGTCCAGATGGGCTTTGGGTTTATTGTGCCCCTCAGAGCCAAATTTCTGACAAACGGGAGGAATTTTGGGTTTTTGGCTGTTTTTACTTTGGGGTTTCTGCTGGTTCAGCCCCTTCCTGATCCCAGAGGCGGCTGAGGAGGGGGAGAGGGAAAAGGGAGGGAAGGGAAGGGAAGGGAAGGGAAGGGAAGGGAAGGGAAGGGAAGGGAAGGGAAGGGAAGGGAAGGGAAGGGAAGGGAAGGGAAGGGAAGGGAAGGGAAGGGAAGGGAAGGGAAGGGAAGGGAAGGGAAGGGAAGGGAAGGGAAAAGGATAAAGAAGGGAAAGGGAAAAGGAAGGGAAGGGAGGGAGGGAGGGGAAGAAGGAAAGGAAAGGAAAGGAAAGGAAAGGAAAGGAAAGGAAAGGAAAGGAAAGGAAAGGAAAGGAAAGGAAAGGAAAGGAAAGGAAAGGAAAGGAAAGGAAAGGAAAGGAAAGGAAAGGAAAGGAAAGGAAAGGAAAGGAAAGGAAAGGAAAGGAAAGGAAAGGAAAGGAAAGAGGAAAGGAAAGAGGAAAGGAAAGGAAAGGAAAGGAAAGGAAAGGAAAGGAAAGGAAAGGAAAGGAAAGGAAAGGAAAGGAAAGGAAAGGAAAGGAAAGGAAAGGAAAGGAAAGGAAAGGAAAGGAAAGGAAAGGAAAGTTTGCTCCCAGTGAGAATTTGGGTACCTTCCTCCTCGGAGAGCTTCTCCCCGAGCCGGGTGAGCTTGGCGCGGAGCTCGGGCACGGCGATCACTCCTCTCTTCTCCCTGTCCAGCATGGCCAGGGCCCTCAGGATCTCCTCCTGGGGCTCCTCCTGCTTCATCTGCCGGTACATGATGTTCAGGAAGGTGGAGAAGTCCAACTCTGCGTTCCTGTCTGCAAAGGAAGGGCAGATCCTGCGGGAACTATTTTTTTATTTTAGAACTTTTGACCCCCTTGTACAAAGTTAAAACTTTGTACAGGGTGTTTAAACTCCCTTGTATAATATTAATTTTAATATTATGTATATTAATTTTAATATTATGTATAATATTTTAAAATTTTCTCCTCTATTTTGTAACTACTTCTACTACACCATCGAACCTTTTGCAACCGCTCGTTCCAGTTTTAAAGTTGGTAACTCATCCCATGGCTCAAACCCGAAATTCCCGCTGCTTCCAGCTGCTTGTCAGGGTTTAAAATATTTCTGAGCGAGGCTGGAACCTCTGGGAATGTCGGAGGGATACTGAAATTCCAACATTCCGGGTTAAATCCCGTTCCTCACCCATCCTGTGCAGCTGCAGGTGCCGCTGCACCTCTCCGGGCGTGGGGCTGGTTCCCAGGCTCCGCATCACCGCCAGCAGCTCCGAGCCCCGGATCTTCCCCCTCTGCTTGGTGTCGTACAGGGAAAAGCACTCCTTGAACTCTAATTAATTAACGAGCAGAGCCCAGTCAGGCACTCTAATTAACCAGCAGAGCCCAGTCAGGCACTCTAATTAACCAGCAGAGCCCGGTTGGGTTGGCACCGATCCCCATCCCAGCCGGATCCGCTCTCGGTGTCGCCTTTCCAACAGCGGGAAAAGGACCGGGGGCAGTTAAGGAAATTAAAATAATTAAAGCCCCCCAGCGGCGCTAATTGGGGCGTTACAGGCTGGGGAAGGGGGAAAAGGGCTGCAAAAAAGGAGGATTTTGGTAAAAAGGGATTTTTGTGGTTTGGATGGAGGTGTGGGAGAGGGATGGAGGAAGATGAGGGAGAGAGGGGGAGGAAAAGGGAGAGGAAAATGGGAAAGGGAAAGAAAAGGGAGAGGAGAGATGGAGGATGATGGAGGATGGAGGATGATGAAGGACGGAGAATGGTGGAGGATGGTGAAGGATGGAGGATGATGAAGGATGGAGAAGGATGGGGGATGATGAAGGGTGGAGGATGATGGAGGATGATGAAGGATGGAGGATGATGAAGGATGGAGGAGGATGGAGGATGATGAAGGATGGAGGATGATGAAGGATGGAGGATGATGAAGGATGGAGGATGATGAAGGATGGAGGATGATGAAGGATGGAGGTGGTGGAAGATTTTGGAGGTGGAGGCCGCCGAGTTCTCCCCCATCTCCCGCTGCAGGGGACGGGGGAGCCCCGAGGATGCTCTGGGGGTGCCCCAAGGCTGTCCCGGGGGTGTCCCGGGGCTGTCCGTGCCCGTGGGCACCGTGACCTCCCCCGGCCCGGCCGCCGCCTCCTCTGCTCGCCAATCCCCGGCAGAGCCGATCGGATTTGCACTAATACTCTCATTAATAATACTCTCATTAATAATAATAAATACTCTCATTAATATTCCTATTCAAACCCTAATTTCAGCTTCTTTCGGCCGCTCCCGGAGCATTCCCAGCCCCGGGCGCCGCTCCCCTTTCCCAGGGCTGCTCCCAGTGGGAATTTGGATCCCCTGCGCCGCCTCCTTCCTCCTCCTCCTCCTCCTCCTCCTCCTCCTCCTCCTCTCCCACAGCACCGAACCCTGCAGGACCTGCAGGAGCGGGACTGGGGCACCGGGAATTCCTGGGGCTGCTGCTGTTTTCCCTGGAATTCCGCTGCTCCCGGTGGCATTGGAGCGGCTGCGATATTTTCCTGCCCTGGGCAGAATTCCCTGTTTTTACCCAAGCAGGACCTGGGAGATTTCCCTGTTTTCCCAAGCAGGACCTGGAGATATTTCCCTGTTTTTTTAACCAGGCAGGACCTGGGGCTATTTCCCTGTTTTCGCGGATTTCCCTGTTTTTTTCCCAGGCAGGACCTGGGCAGAATTCCCTGTTTTTTATCCCAAGAAGGACCTGGGCAGAATTCCCTGTTTTTTTCCCAGGCAGCGGATCCCGGGAGAGCCGGGAGGAGGAAGGATTTAGGCACAGCGAGCCCAGGCTGAGACATTTTGGGGGAGAAAACCGGCATTTTTATATAAATCTAAATCTATAAAAACTTAAATATACGTAGAAATGTAACTATAAATATATATAAGTCTAAATATATAAATCGAAATCTAATCTACATATGTAAATATAAATATACGCTAAATATATAACTCTAAATTTAAATATAATTTAAATAGATAAATATAAATATAAACAAAAATATAAATATAAATATAAATATAAATATAAATATAAATATAAATATAAATATAAATATAAATATAAATATAAATAATATAAATATAAATATAATCTCGCTGATGAACGCCCGAAGCGGAACAAACCCGTACCTACCATTAATTTGATCCTGGGACAGAAACTTTGCCTGGAGCAGGAAGAGGGAAAAAAAAAAAAAAATATATATATATATATAAATAATCCGGAGCAGGTTTAAAATCCGATTTCGGGGCGCAGAGCCCGCAGCGCGGCACTCACCATGGTTTTGGGGACAATCCGTGAGGTTTTGGGGACAATCCGCGGGGTTTTGGGGCCAGTCCCGGGGATTTTGGGGCGCGGCAGGAGCGGGTTGGTGGTTTTTATTTGGGGCAGAGTCCGCGGCGGGCGGAGTTTCGGTGACCGCGCTGCCATAGCCACGGAGCTCAGCCCCGATCCCGCCTGTCTGCCGGGAAAAGCATTTGCAATTCAAAATGAAAAAAGGCAAAAATTAAAAAATGAAAAAAAGTCAAAAGTCTAAAAAATCAAAAATGCAAAAAGTCAAAAATTAAAAAATTAAAAAAGTCAATAATCCAAAAATTCAAAAATGAAAAAAGTCAAAAGTCTAAAAATTCAAAAATGAAAATGTCAAAAATGAAAAAATAAAAAAAATCAAAAATTCAAAAATGAAAAAAAGTCAAAAGTCTAAAAATTCCAAAATGAAAAAAGTCAAAAGTCTAAAAATTCAAAAATGAAAATGTCAAAAATGAAAAAATGAAAATGTCAAAAATGAAAAAATGAAAAAAGTCAAAAATGAAAAAATGAAAAAAAGTCAAAAGTCTAAAAATTCAAAAACGAAAAAAAGCCAAAAGTCAAAAAATTCCAAAATGAAAAAAGTCAAAAGTCTAAAAATTCAAAAATGAAAAAAGTCAAAAGTCCAAAAATTCAAAAATGAAAAAAAGTCAAAAGTCCAAAAATTCCAATATGAAAAAAGTCAATAATTCAAAAATGAAAAAAGTCAAAAATGAAAAAATGAAAAAAGTTAAAAATTCAAAAATGAAAAAAAGTCAAAAGTCTAAAAATTCAGAAATGAAAAAAGTAAAAAATGAAAAAATGACAAAAGTCAAAAGTCCAAAAATTCCAAATGAAAAAAGTCAAAAGTCCAAAAATTCCAAATGAAAAAAATCAAAAGTCAAAAAATTCCAATATGAAAAAAGGCCAAAAGTCCAAAAATTCCAATATGAAAAAAGGCCAAAAGTCCAAAAATTCCAAAATGGCAAAAGTCAAAACTCTAAAACTTCAAAAATGAAAAAAGTCAAAAAGTCCAAAAATTGCAAAATTAAAAATAAATAGGTGTTTTTTTTTTGCTTTTGGAATTTTTGTAATTTTTTTAGTCAAAAATACAAAAATTGCAAAAATCCCAAAAAAACCCCAAATCCAAAGAGGTTCTGGTGCAGAGACCTCAGGAATTCCCCCCATCCCCAAATGGATTTTGGGGCCATTTTTTGGGAATTCTGAAGAATTCTCGTGTCTGAGTGTGAGCTCAAGATGCTGATGCACAGACCCCAGGAATTCCCCCCTTCCCGATGGATTTTGGGGCCGTTTTTTGGAAATTTGCCATTTCCAAGAGCTGGTGCACAGATCCCTGGAGCTCCCTCCTTTCCCGATGGATTTTGGGGTGTTTTTTTGGGAATTCTGAGGAATTCTCACCCTATGAGAGAGATCTGAAGCTGTTGGTGCACAGACCCCTGGAGCTCCCCCCATGCCCGATGGGTTTTGGGGCCATTTTTTGGGAATTCTCAGGAATTCTCACCCCAAGTGAGAGCTGAAGGTGCTTCTGCAGAGACCCCAGGAATTCCCCCCATCCCCGATGGATTTTGGGGTGTTTTTTTGGGGAATTCTCAGGAATTCTCACCCCGAGTGAGATCTGAAGCTGTTGGTGCAGAGACCCCTGGAATTCCCCCCTTCCCGATGAATTTTGGGGCTGTTTTTTGGAAATTTGCCATTTCCAAGAGCTGGTGCACAGATCCCTGGAGCTCCCTCCTTTCCCGATGGATTTTGGGGTGGTTTTTTGGAATTCTGAGGAATTCTCACCGCCTGAGTGAGATCTGAAGCTGTTGGTGCAGAGACCCCATGAATCCCCCCATTCCCGCTGGATTTTGGGGCCGTTTTTTGGAAATTTGCCATTTCCGAGACCTGGTGCACAGATCCCTGGAGCTCCCCGCTTTCCTGATGGATTTTGGTGCCGTTTTTGGGGAATTCTCAGGAATTCTCACCCCGAGTGAGATCTGAAGCTGTTGGTGCAGAGACCCCATGAATCCCCCCATTCCCGCTGGATTTTGGGGCTGTTTTTTGGAAATTTGCCATTTCCGAGAGCTGGTGCACAGATCCCTGGAGCTCCCTCCTTTCCTGATGGATTTTGGTGTTGTTTTTTGGGGAATTCTCAGGAATTCTCACCCTATGAGTGAGATCTGAAGCTGTTGGTGCACAGACCCCATTAATTCCCCCATTCCCACTGGATTTTGGGGCCGTTTTTTGGAAATCTGCCATTTCCGAGAGCTGGTGCACAGATCCTGCTTTCCTGATGGATTTTGGTGCCGTTTTTTTGGGAATTCTGAGGAATTCTCACCCCGAGTGAGATCCGAAGCTGTTGGTGCACAGACCCCTGGAGGTCCCCCCATCCCCAGTGGATTTTGGGGCCATTTTTGGAAATCTGCCATTTCCAAGCGCTGGTGCACAGATCCCACTTTCCTGATGGATTTTGGTGCCATTTTTTTGGGAATTCTCAGGAATTCTCACCCCGAGTGAGATCTGAAACTGTTGGTGCACACACCCCATTAATTCCCCCATTCCCACTGGATTTTGGGGCCATTCCTGAACAATCCCCCTCTCCCTCCCCATCCCTTCACTCAGCACCGAGCGCCAACGACTCAACTCCCATTAACCCCTCCCTGACCAAACCACAACCACCACCACCACCGCCACTCCAGGAATTTATTCCCAACTGGAGGATCTCCATTAAAAACCCCAAATCTCCCTCAGGAGCCCCCCGGGGCGGGGTGTGGGGTGCCGACGTGCAGCGTGTAGAAGGCCCAGGGCTCGGGGATGTAGATGACGCCCGGGTAGCGGCGGCGCAGGGTCCCGTCGTTCCAGAGCCAGCCCACCCAGGCGGCGATGAGGAGGAGGGTGAGGAGGAAGGAGAGCAGCAGGAAGCGCCCGTTGCTGTCGGGCACCAGCCCCCGGCGCCGCTGCTGCAGCACCAGCGCCAGCATGGCGAAGAAGGTGAAGATGTAGAGGATGAAGATCTGGCCCTCGGTCACCAGGTACCTGCGGGGAGAACTCCCGGACAGCATTCCCGGGTTTTCTGTGGGATCTGCGGTGATCCTGCGATCGCAGGGATGGCGTTCCCAGATTTTCTGGGATCTGTGGTGATCCTGGGATCGCAGGGACGGCATTCCCTGATTTTCTGGGATCGCAGGGACAGCGTTCCCAGATTTTATGGGATCCCAGAGAGAGCATTCCCAGCTGTTCTGGGATCACAGGGACAGCGTTCCCAGATTTTTCTGGGATCCATGATAATCCTGGAGTTCTGGGAGAGCGTTCCTATCTGTTCTGGGATCACAGGGAGAACGTTCCTGGGTTTTTCTGGGATCTGCGGTGATCCTGGGATCACAGGGAGAGCATTCCCAGCTGTTCTGGGATTCCAGGGAGAGCATTCCCAGTTCTTCTAGGATCACAGGGACAGCATTCCCAGATTTTCCAGGATCCCAGGGAGAGTGCCCCCATGTGTTCTGGGATCGCAGGGACAGCATTCCCAGTTTTTTTGGGATCATGGTTATCCTGGAATGCTGGGAGAGCGTTCCCATCTGTTCTGGGATCCCAGGGAGAGCATTCCCAGCTTTTTTTGGGATCAGTTTTGATCCTGGGATCCCAGGGGGAGCATTCCCAGCTTTTTTGGGATCAGTTTTGACCCTGGGATCCCAGGGGGAGCATTCCCAGCCCCACAGAGCAAAAGCTGCCCTGGGGAATGGAGCAGCTCTCCCTGGGGAATTCCTGGAGTATTCCCGGGGCATTCCCGGAGTATTCCCGGGGCATTCCCGGGATTCCCTGCCCCGGCACTCACCAGTAGTAGAGGCTGCTGGGCCCCACCAGGAGCAGGGCTGCCAGGGGCATCCGGCCCCGCCGTGCCGCCGGCGTGAAGCAGCCGGTGAAGTAAATGAAGAGGATCAGGAAAAACGGGATGTACCTGGGAAAAAACAGCAATTCCCAGTGCTGGGATCAGCCCGGGAGGGACTGAACTGCCCCAAAGCCACCCCACAGCCAGAGCTGATCCCAGGATGGGGGTGGGGATGGAGCAGCTCTGGGATTCCCACTGTGGGATTCCCTAATCAGGGGGATTCCTGCTGTGGGATTCCTGGTCTGGAATTCCCGATGTGGAATTCCTGCTCTGGAATTCCCTGCTGTGGAATTCCTGCTGTGGGATTCCTGCTCTGGAATTCCTGCTGTGGGATCCCTGCTGTGGGATTCCTGTTGCTGTGGGATTCTTGCTGCTGTGGGATTCCCTAATCAGGGATTCCTGCTGCTGCTGTGGGATCCCTCCTCTGGAATTCCCGCTGTGGGATTCCCTAATCAGAGATTCCTGCTGTGGGATCCCTGCTGTGGAATTCCTGCTCTGGAATTCCTGTTCTGAAATTCCCGCTGTGGGATCCCTGCTCTGGAATTTCTGCTGTGGGATTCCCTAATCAGGGATCCCTGCTGTGGAATTCCTGCTGTGGAATTCCTGCTCTGGAATTCCCTGCTGTGGAATTCCCACTGTGGGATTCCTGCTGTGGGATCCCTGCTGTGGGATTCTTGCTGTGGGATCCCTGCTCTGGAATTCCTGCTGTGGAATTCCTGCTCTGGAATTCCCTGCTGTGGAATTCCCGCTGTGGAATTCCCGCTGTGGGATTCCCTAATCAGGGATCCCTGCTGTGGAAAAGCCCATCCCAATTTCGGGAAGAGACCTCTTGGCACAATGGGGCATGGAACTGGAAGTGGGTTTTTAGTTGGGATATTTGGGGTGTTTGGGGATATTTGGAATATTTGGGCTGTTTGTTTGGGATGTTTGTTTGGGGTTTTTGTTTGGGGTGTTTGGGGTATTTGGGTGTTTGTTTGGGATATTTGGGTGTTTGTTTGGGATATTTGGGGTATTTGTTTGGGGTGTTTGGGGTATTTGGGGTGTCTGGGGCACACCTGGGGGTGCTGGAGGAGGACCCAGGAGGAACCTCCTGCCCAGTCCTGGAAGGACAAAGCCGTTCCTCCATTCCAATCCCAAAATATCCCTGAGCAGAGGGGATTTTCCAGGATCCACCCTAATCCGGATCCTAATCCAAATCCATCCCTGCAGCTCCAGCTCGGGGTTTTTATCCCCTCTGAGCTCCCCCTTCCCCCTGAGCCATCCCAAAACCTCTGCTGGGATCACTCACCACATGGAGTGCCCCAAATATTCGTCGT